CCCATCTCTCTTCCCCATCCTCCCACTTTGACTAAGCACATCTGGGATGGTGTGGGAGGATGGATGGAGGGGGCATTTAATTACTTAATTATTTATTTAAAAAAAAATTGTCTATGCTTAAAGTAAATCTGTGTAAAATTAATTTAATTATGAGCTTAGAATAAGACCAGACTTAGACAAAATTGGTAGAGACAAACATGTTAAATAGGTCTCAATTTTTTTGTAGTAAGAATGCTCCCCCTACCTCTCTCTGAACGTCACTATAAATGTCGGTATAACAAAATTGGGTTATTTAAATTTTGTTTGGATGGAACCAGCAAAGGGTGCTGAGTTCCTTTTTCCTCATGGACTGTTTTTTTTCCCACTTTTATCTCTATGGAGAGGTGGAAATACATGTTGGTTTTGTTGTATTATGTCGCATGGAGGGTCACGGTGGATCGGCGGCGTTCCTTATTAAAGAATGGTTAGATTAGCATTGATCAATGTACAGGGACTAAACTACCCACAAAAGAGATCCATAGTTCAAATCTTTTTGATAAAAGAGCATATTGATATTGCTTTCTTGCAAGAAACCCACTGGCAACAGACACAAAAAATAGCTTTAGGAGGTACACGTTTTCCTTTATTATTTAGTGCTTCAAATTCAGATAAAAAAAAACAACAAAATATTGGGTTGTAATACTATTCTAACGATATTTATGTCAGGGCTTACCTGAGTTGGGAGTCCGGCAGGCAGAGATATATGCTCTCCCTTGCAAGTAAACACAGGCCGAGGTGGTCAGGTAAGAATTCACCTGGCCTGTGAGTCGGTGCATTGGGGCTGTGCAGGATATTTCTCCAAGTCGCAGTACAGGAATGGATAAAGCAGGAGAATCATCTTGGGTAAGCCAGAGGTCAGAGGGTGCCAGAAATCAGGATTAACGAGAAGAAAGCCAAGTACAGAGGATGCCAGAAGTCAGGATATACGGAGTAACAAGCCAAGATCAGAAATCAATAGGAGCACACTGGAACACAAACAGCAATACTGAACCAGAGTCAAGGAACTGACACTGCCTTCTGGGAGAGGCAGTGTTTTATACCTGGCTAATGAGGCCATCAGCTTCAGGTGTGCTTGAGAATGTTGGAGCAGCCGCAGAATAACATTCAGCCCCCCAATGCTGGATACAAGACAGAGCTAGATACTGGCATTACTAAAGCTGAATGGTGGCTCACAGCAGCCCTCATAGCAGCCCCAGGACTGCAAAGTACCCAGGTTCAAATCCGCTACTGCGCACTCCTGGGGCAACCTAGTTTGGCACTCCAGAAGTTATGGTGGCAACTGTGACAATTTAAAAGTTGATATTATTTATCAATATTCAGATCCATAGGTACTCTATCTAATACTAATATGTAGGATTAATGAGGTGATACATACGTTAACTAATATATACCTCTCAAACTCTGCAAAAAAAAACTCTCCAATAAAGTGTTTTTTTGCTATCTGAACTGTACATTAAATTTTATGGTATTTCTAAAGAAGAGAAAATGAATTCATCTTATGATAAATTATCCGATCTAATTAAAAAACAAGAAAAAATAAATCTAAAACTTATAGAAAAAAATTTGATTAATTTGTCTAAATTAAAAATTAGCTATTATAACAATAATAACAGGACGAATAGACTTCTTTCAAATAGGCTAAAAAAATCAAAAGGCTAATAATCGAATTAAAAAAAAATTCTAGAAAATAATAGACCAATATGTAATCCAAATTTAATAGCACAAGGTTTTAAATCCTTTTATAGCTCATTATATAATTTAAAATTGGAGATAAAGAATTAATAGAAAAATATCTTCAGGCTAGTACACTCCCAAAACTATCCAAAACTCAAATAAAAAATGTAAACAAGAGCATTACAGAAGAGGAATTAGCTAGGGTAAAACATAGATAGGAAAGACAAAAAACTCCGGGACCAGACGGAGATACTAGTCTTTTTTTATAAGAAATTTAGCAATCTTTGTCTTACTCATTTGGTAGGAATGCATAATGAAGCAACACAAACAGGAACAATATAATACCAATATTAAAGCAGGGGAAGTGTCCTACTAAAATGGAACATTATAGGCCCATCTCACTCTAAAATAATGACCTGAACCTATATGCATCAATACTGGCAGACAGACTTAAGAAGGTCATAGACAACATTTTACATCCTGGTCAGTTTGGGTTTATTCCAAATAGAACAGCTAATATGAACTCTAGAAAGATTTTGAACATTTTGGATCTAGTAAATAGAACTTGCCTTCTTATGCTGACCATGTCAGTGGATGCAGAGAAGGCCTTCAACAGAGTCGGCTGGGAATATTTGAGTCTGACTTTAAAAAGAATAGGCATAGATGGGTGTATGCCCTTTATAAATCACTATCAGCCAGAGTTATAGGACAAAACATATGTTCTGAGTAGTTCCCACTATTGAATGGAACATGTCAAGGGTGTCCGCTTTCCCCATTGCTCTATATAATTTCTTTATATCCATTTGCTGTAGGATTAGGGAAAATAAAAATATTAAAGGAGTTGTATTATAATCACTAGAATCAAAAATAAATCTATATGCTGATGATACATTGATCACACTAACAGATTCAATTAAGTCATTGGAACATTTAATGGCAGAGTTTAATGAATATTCTGAAGATTCTAATTTTAAGATTAACATAGAGACATCAATTATTATGGGCTGTAATTTAACAACAGAGATTAAAAAAACAATGCAATTAAACCAAATATGGGTTTGTATGGTCTAAAAAAGTAATAAACTATCTAGGAGTGAAAATAACAAAAAATAAATCAAACTTGTATGGAAATTATTTTTTTGAAATTATTAAAAGCCATAAATCATACCCTGAAAAACTGGAAAAATGTGGACGTATCATGGATAGGTAGAGCTAATAAAGTTAATGCATATCCATTACAGAAATGACTATATTTATTTCAAATGCTCCCTCTCAAAATTCCAGATAGTTGTTTGAAGATGATGCAAAGGAATATATATATATATATATATATATATATATAATATTCAGCTGGATACAGAACTTAAGAAAAACTGGTATGTGATGAAAACGAATAGTCTGAATAAATCTAATGTATTTTAAAAACAATAAGAAAAACAATTAAAATAACAAAAGAGAATAAATGTTTCTAATCGATCTAAATTTAAAAATAAATATAAATATAATAAAAACAATAATAAAAACAATTAAAATAATAAAAGAGAATAAATGCTTCTAATCGATCTAAATTGATTAGAAGCATTTATTCTCTTTTGTTATTTTAATTGTTTTTATTATTGTTTTTATTATATTTATATTTATTTTTATTTTTATTACTTTTTTACATTACCATAGAGGGACTTCTTCTCCGTGGTACCACTTGTTAGTGGTGATATGCTGATATAATCTTCACTTGATGTAAGTGCAATTTGTACCAATAAATTCATTTTTGTTTGCAATACTGCTCTATATACCTCTTTTCCTTTGAGGATTGGGTGTTCCGAATCTACGCCTTTGGTCTACAATACAAGTTTATTGAGAAAGGAAACGTTATTTATATACCCTATGGAAGGGAGATAAGCGCAGATCTACAGTATGGTCTTGTAAGTTCTCTACCTACGGGATTGAACTATATATTTCTGTACATGCTTCACTATTATGTGATTTTTTTCATGTTCTAGATTCTTTGAAGAACTGTGTTGTATTATGTACAGGTTGTATGTTTCATGATTCTTGTGCTACCCCTTTAATCTATACTAGTACTTGGTACAGTATAGATTTACCCTTTGTGCATCTGACTTTGAGTTTCATATGCTTGATGACTAAGTACCGCTGCCTGCATTCGTAAGACAAGATGGCCTCTGTTTTTCCACTTAAGTTTGTGGTTAGTTTGTAGTTAATGAGCCAGGGGGTTGGTCAGTGTTTGGTAAATTGTAACTACTGAACTGAGGAAAAGTATTTGGGTTTGGGGAAACTTATAAACCGAACTAGGAGGGAACTGTCCTTAGAACATAATACATAGTGAGTTTGTCACAGAGCATATCTGTTTGTCTCCTTTACAATTATGTCAATCACTACCTGGTCAAAATAGAGTTCAAAACACTTCATTAGTCTTGCTGTGAAATCTATAACTACAACTACAGTCAGATTTCCAGTGAAAAGTAATCTTGGTGGTGGTGGTGGAGGAATGATCTGCACATTCACATAATACCACACCCTACACTGGCCTAGTTCAGCATAATCTTAATGATTTAAATCAGAAATGTTAGATAAATGCCATCATTATCACTGTCACTACTACTCAAGTAGACAGATTTCAAGTCTAAATTATGTTCGTCAAAGCAGGGCACATCATCGCTATCACTATCATATTAACCTCCAATTTATTTTCTGTCTTTCAAATTTATGTTGCTACTCGAAACCATCTTCTAATTATTCTGAAAGTAATTAATAGTTCAGATATAAAAATTATAATACTTATAATTATAAATTACACATTATGGAAAACTGAAATGTATACATTACACAAAACACTTCATACATAACCCAACAAATACAGCAGCTCTGTTCTTACCTCAAAGCATAATTCTGCATATTATCAGTATTTCAATTAAATATATTCATATATAGTTATTTATTGTAGAAATAAAAACAACCCAAACAGTACTATCAAATATTGCATTACTCATTTCCAAAGCACTCTGCACATGTGGTCATAGATGACACACTTGACATTTTCATTCATGTCACAACCTATCAAGAAAAAAAAAACAGGAATACCTTTGAAATATATCAGGAAACTGAGAAACTATAGCAATCTACCAGCACAGCTACCATGAATGGGAGAATCTCGGGATAGCCATGCAAAGAAACATACATAGTTACATAGTTACATAGCTGAAAAGAGACTTGCGTCCATCAAGTTCAGCCTACCTCACATTTGTTTTTTCTGTTGATCCAAAGAAGGCAAAAAACCCAGTTTGAAGCACAATTTTGCAACAAGCTAGGAAAAAAAATTCATTCTTGACCCCAGAATGGCAGTCAGATTTATCCTTGGATCAAGCAGTTATTACCCTACATTGAAAGATTATATCCTTGAATATTCTGTTCTTGCAAGTATGCATCTAGTAGCCGTTTGAAAATCTGTATGGACTCTGATAAAACCACTTCTTCAGGCAGAGAATTCCACATCCTGATTGTTCTTACAGTAAAAAAAACTTTCCTTTGCCTTAGACGAAATCTTCTTTCTTCCAGTCTAAACGCATGACCTTGTGTCCTATGTAAAGTCCAGTTTGTGAATAGATTTCCACACAATGGTTTGTATTGGCCCTGAATATATTTGTATAATGTTATTATATCCCCTCTCAGGCGACGTTTTTCTAAACTAAATAGGTTTAAATTTGCTAACCTTTCTTCATAGCCAATATGTTCCATTCCTTTTATTAGTTTTGTAGCCCGCCTCTGCACTTTTTCTAGTGCCATAATATCCTTCTTTAGAACAGGTGCCCAAAATTGCACAGCATATTCAATATGGAGTCTTACCAGTGATTTATAAAGAGGCAAAATTATATTCTTGTCCCGAGAATGAATGCCCCTTTTCATGCATGACAATACCTTACTGGCCTTGGCCACTGCTGATTGACATTGCACATTGTTGCATAGTTTGTCTATAACAATTCCCAAGTCCTTTTCATGTGTTGTTATCCCTAATTCGCTTCCATTAAGGGTATACGTTGCTTGTGTATTGTTTACGCCGAAGTGCATAACTCTTCATTTTTCAACCTTAAATTTCATCTACCATTTGAGTGCCCAGTCCCCCAGTCTATCTAAATCCCTCTGCAGCAAAGTAATATCTTGCTCACATTGTATTGTTTTACAAAGTTTGGTGTCATCTGCAAACACTGATACATGACTTTCAATGCGGTCTTCAAGATTATTTATAAACATGTTAAATAGAAGGGGTCCCAGAACAGACCCCTGAGGAACACCACTTGCCACCTCTGTCCAGCTTGAAAATTTACCATTAATGACAACTCTTTGTACTCTGTTTTTAAGCCAATGTTCTACCCAAGAACAAGCATTTTCATCTAGACCGATTTCCTTGAGTTTGAAAACTAATCTATTGTGTGGAACTGTATCAAATGCCTTGGCAAAATCCAAATAGATCACATCCACGGCAACACCCTGATCTATACTTATACTTACTTCTTCGTAGAGCGCAATCAAGTTAGTTTGACATGACCTGTGCTTCCTTCTTAAAACCATGCTGATTTTTGCTGATAACCATGTTCTTCTCAAGGAATTCTTGAATATTATCCCTTAATAACCTTTCAAATATTTTACCAGCCACAGAAGTTAAGCTCACATGTCTATATGCATCTATGCATCCACTGTACATAATGCTTTCACCAAACACATTGCATACAATACACACACTGAATCCACTTCACAGACACACACTTTGCATCCACTATACAGTCACTGCATTCACTACACACACTGCAAAACAAAATGGGTGTGGTGTGGTAGCCATGGTTTAGGTTTTGACGAGTGGGGGGCAGCATTTCACCCCTGGACCCAGGTAGCACAATGTCTTGGGCCGGACCTGGTGGCTTGGCAAATTGAGGCCAGTAAGAGTAGGGCAGGTCAATTTCCACATAGTCTAATAAGCAGGATAAAATGTAATGTCTTGCCGCAATGAAGGTCACAAATAGATGAGGGCTCCAAGCACCTATTAAACTTGACTTTCTAAGAAGGATACAATAAGTAGGTGGGTGTTACACAAAATGTTTATTAAAAATTAATCAATTATAGTACTGCCCTACCCTTAGGCCTAAATTAAATACTAAACATCCACTAGGGAACTTATTTATCCACATTTATCCCCTCTACAAAATTGTTGATAATAATAAAAATCTATAAATCCTGCTGTACTTCTGTTTGGGGGAAAAAAGTACTAAAGTAAAGTAATAAAGTGAGAACAAACTAAACCATTTATGCAATATATACAATACTGGAGCTTGGTATTTCATAATGGTAAATTAATTATTCAGTGGTTCAAATATTAATTATTTTGCTGCCAAAAGAATAAGAATTATAGCAAATCAGAATGAATTATCTGAGGCGTTGAGGCATGAATAAAATATTACCATTTCTTTTTGCACAGTTAAATCTTACTTTTTTTTTTGTCTTTTAATATTTACCTAAAATGAATTGTGGGGTTGTACCTTTAACATTTTATTCATTAGATGCAATAATATTTTATGCATAAAAGTCAGGAAATGTAGCTGCATGTGGAATAAAAGTGATTGATTTTTAATTACCAAGGTCAAAGTAAATGCCGTCTAACACAGCATAGAACACAGCTATAGACTCAATTTAATTTTAAATTGTGGGTAAAACAGTTTTGACACTGTAAATATATTGATGTGCAGCAGCATGCTAAACCATATTTTTGTAATGTTACAAATTTCAACATGCAAAACCATTGGAGAGACATATGGCTTTTCCTGAATATAAAGACAACTTGCTTTTAACTTTCTGTTAATGTTTGAAATATTATATTCAGTACATGTAACTAGTGATGTCGCAAACCGTTCACGAACTTGCCTTCAACATGGATGCTGTCCAGGAAGTAGGAGGGTCTGGGAGGGAGGGTCTGCCGGAGATTAACCGCGGCGAACCGTTCGCGGCACGTTCGCGACATCACTACATGTAACAAAAGTGAAATTGATATTTTTGTGTTATACAAATAACTATTATGTATAAAGAAAGTGATGACTGCAAAAGTAGTCTAGTACAACTATTTTTTTATGGTTATTAGTAATTAACCAAAAAGGAGATTGTACATTATTTCATTTTAACTGCAATTTGCCTGAATTATTGTATGAACTTTTGAATTCTGAGCTGAAAAGTAGCCAAATCATGAACAAAGCAAATCATTCAACGGACTAGCATGTTTGTTTTGAGTTGTGCCCATGGTGCCAACAGAAGGGATGATTGATGAGGAAAAAAAAGATTGATGGTTAGGGGTCAGTCACTAAATGTTGATTATTTTTCACAGATTAAGCAAAAAGTGACAAGCCCAAATACAGTGAGAAAAAATGGGAAAAGCATTAAAAAAGTTAAATTTGTATGGTATATATTTAATCAATTTATAATATATAAATATAGATTTGATTTACTGCTCCACCTCTTTATCCATCTGTTGGCTACTTTTTCTCACTTGGTGGCAGGAGTATGCGGCTATTACTGTATTGAAAAATATATACTTATTTTATGTATATATTTTACAATAGCGTAATTAGCCATTATCATTCTTTTCGACAGCTACTGAGGAAGCTCACAGAAGAGTGAAACACAATTAGCTGGATTTTTGACTTTTTTACTTGGACTTTTTATTATTTTTTATTCTTAGTATAATTATTTTTTTAATTGTATACCAATAAATTATTTTTCAATATAAACGTACAGGAGTCCAAAAAGTCCTTTCTAGCCTTCAGGAACCTCATTTGGGGAATGCTATCCCAACTAAATTAGCATACTGCCAATCAACTTCTGTTTAAGGTGAGCACAACCATTATCACCAATACTATATCGATCTTCTATACAGTACTACACATCTGGTTTGTCTCTTTTTTTGTTCTATATCACCGGAGGAATATCGTTTGGGACAAAGGGGTGTGCTGCGGCCTCAAAAGCAAAAAGGATTTACTTACGGAGCCAATGTCATATAGGCTCCAGCCCATGTGAGTGGTTTTAGCTATTTGTTACCATCACTCACCCTTATTTGTAAACCATCTGCACTATATTGTCTTTTTTTGTTTTGTTTTATATGTACATTTAAGCATAAACTCTCAAGATTGTCACTGTACTGAAGGGGTAAGTGTACCCCCTTATTATTTACACTTACTATAGCGCTCCACCTGCTGGTATAAAGTCTATACCTTTTCTTGTAATATTTGCGTTTCATTGTGGATAAGGGTATTCCACTTTTTGTGTTGAGCTACTTTTTCTGCTTAGGCACTTTAGAGTATCACTCACTATCTCTGCAAAGAGACAGCTGTTTTTGTGTTAAATGTTTCAGCTCCCTTGAGCCTTTGTCAAGTCAATTGAGGAACTGCACCCTTTTAGTTTGTCTAAATCATTTTACCACATTTGTTTTGCCAAAATTCTGGCAAAATGCAGGTTGCTTTGTTGTTCAGATGATTTAGTACAGTCATAGGCTGAGCTACTGACATACCCTTTTGATAAAGAAGTATTTTTTTGGAGTGAGGGAGTGGGGCTAAAGAGGCAGGCTTATGGTGCAGCATTCTGCAAAAAAAATGTATTTTTTATATAAAAATTATAAATAAAAAAACTCATGCAAAAATTACAGCATATTAATGAAGTAAAATGCATTAGAGTAGTATCAGTGCCCTGAGTGACCCTTTTAAGTATAGAAACTTATAGTTGTAATACCTTTAGTTTGAAAACTACTACCAAAAACAGCAAAGAGTGCTTGAAGCTGCTAAAATGCCATCACGTTTTATCATTTTCCCCTTATTGAATAACTATGTTATACAGTATAATAACATAAATTTAATTCAGTTGAAGAAAAGGAGTTTGTACAGAGGTTGTGTTTTTATCAATTATTCTATTAAGTTTTAAGACTAGGTAGTGCCTCTCCTTTCACTTTTGATTTTAATCTATATTGATGTAAATATGAGAGAAACAATATCCTGCATAACCCAACTGTCAAGTGAGGAGCTCATGGAATGCTGTACATTGGTTAAATTAACAGTTATATGTGCGCTATAAAAAACATATTCTTTAATATGAGTATAAGAGTATAATCGAAGCCCCTCATACACTCCCTAGCCTAAACCATAAGTGTACTATAACAACTTTACATGTGGTCACTGTTGTTCTGTGTCATTACAATGCAGTGTTCACAACAACCCAAACTACACAAACGGAGACAACCCCATGTTTTTACTTTTGCAAATTATACATGCATTTATTTACTTGCTAAAATTTTATTTTTAGTTACTAAAATTCCCCAATATAATATAGCAGCAGTTTCAAATGTGTAAGTTTCAAAAAAAAAAAAAAAATTGTGGATATGTCTTTATTTTGCACTTGTAAATAAAAAAAAACTAGTTAAAAGTAAACAAGGTGGTTACTCTCCTCAGGAAATGTATCTTAACTTAATTTGTGGGTTTCAATACAGTAAAACTATTTCAGATTTCAGATTTATGTCTTGTTTTCATTGTAATTGGTAAGTGTTGTGTCCTAACCTTAGCAAGTAGT